GTTCCTCCCTGCGTGCCCTAGGATGAAGAGAGTGTGGGCCTGGGTCTTCCTCTGAACTCCCTCTCCTTGTTCTACCTCTCCCCTGCCCTGCCCTGCCCTGCTGGACTTTGCCTTTCTCCAGTTTCCCCCACAGCCAACAGAGCCACACTCCCGCTCTCTGGGAGCTGTTCATCTTCCTCCTCGGATTCAGACTCTGATAGGTGCATGAAACAACAGTTGCCTAAACAATCACAAACCCAGAAACAACTTATGAATTACCCAATAACTGCCTTTGAGATATCAGAAGCTGTTTTAAAAAAAATGAAGCCAGGCAAAGCCCCAGACCCAGATGGTCGTACAAGCAATATTATAAGTGCTTTGACAATGAACTTCTCCAATTACTAAAGGACACAGTGAATGATATACTACAGGGGGGAAAAGATACCTCAGATGTGGAAAGAAGTCAACATTGTGTTGCTACCAAAGGAGGGTCAAGATGTTAAAAAGACAAAGAATTATAGACCAATTTCACTATTAAATAAGGATTACAAACTATTTGCTGCCATTTTGGTAGAAAGACTAAAGAAGATTTTACAGCATATATATATATATATATATATTTCGTAGATTTTCACGGGTACAGGTATGCAGGTCTTGGCATGTTTGGGTCTTTTCCCGTGTAAGATTGAGAGTATCTTGGCGACGTTTTGGTGAGGTCCCACTCGCCATCTTCAGGCTGGTGCTTTCGGCTTCATGCTTGTGAGAGCAAAGCATGATCGGAGCTGCCGTCTCCCTATATATACTGGTGGGGAGGTTGGCTGTGTTGTCATTTCTTGATTGGTTGATGGAGTTGATGTATGCAGATTGGCTGGCTTTTTTATAAGAACATGTGTGGCTGAGGTATTGGCTGTGTGTCTATCAGCCTCCTGTGTTGTAACGACCTGGGTAATGGGCTGTGTGATGACCTTCTGAGTTCTATTGTTGTGACATTCTGGGTATTGTGCTGTAATCTCCTGGGTCATTGGCTGTGTTGTAATACCCTAAGGTTTTGTGGTGTAACCTCCTGAGTTTCGTGATGTGATATTCTGAGCGGGTGGCTGTGATGTGATGTTCCCGGTTTTGGTTTGGCTCCAAGTTTGAGGCCTGGCTATGTGTTCATGGCGTGTATCAGAAACAGTGTTAAATGTTAAGTGTTACGAACATGATAAGAAAGCCCCCATCAACCCACAACAACACTTAAAGCAATTAGTACACAACCTTTCCAATAGAGAACTCACTAAAACTGAAACAGATGTCCTAACCAAAGGATTCAACTATGCAACAGCACCCCAAAAAATCCCCATAGAATCCATCATATGCAGAGTAGAATCCAGCCTAACTAAACTAAATACAGATGAAGCTGATACAATAAGACACCAAGTCATGAACATCCTATGCACAAGCAAAGCACCCAAAAGCAGCTTACACAAGGAAGAAAAAAATGCCCCCAAAGCGCTAAAAAACGACAGCAACATTATCATACTTCCAACAGATAAAGGTAATGCCACAGTAGTAATGAACAAAAAAGACTAGGAAACACAACTGGCAGACCTACAGATACAGATAATCAGAGTTGGAAGGGACCTTGTAGGTCATCTAGTCCAACCCCCCGTCCAAGTGGGAGACCCTACACCATTTCTGACAAAAATTCTGACCTACTTCAAGACTCCACATACAAACCCATAAACACTGACCCAACCACATATCTAGAAAAAATAAACAAGAAGAAAATCATAACCAGCAACATTAGCAAAGAGATCCAACAGAAGATCATCCCAAGAGAAAAATCTTCCAGATGCCCCAAACTATATGGCCTCCCCAAAATACACAAAGAAGGCATACCTCTAAGACCTATAGTTAGCTCCATAGGAGCACCACTACAAAACTTGGCCAAATACCTAGCAAAACAGCTACAGCCCCATGCTGAAGCAGCATCTCCACATGTACAAAACTCATATCACTTCATAGAAATGATCAAAAATCTACACGTGGAACAAAAAGATCTGCTAGTAAGTTTCGATGTGGTTTCACTATTCACCCAAGTCCCAGTGAAAGAAACCCTAGAAATCATCAAAAACAAATACCAACCACCCAAGCACCTCATGGAACAAACAGAACACTGCTTAACCAACCCATATTTCATATACAAAGGACAAAGATACAAGCAGATTGAAGGAGCCCCTATGGGATCACTACTGTCACCCGTTATTGCAAATCTGTTCATGGAAGAATTCAAATCCAGAGCCCTGGCAAATGCCATCCACAAATCCAAACTATGGCTAAGATAAATCGATGACACATTTGTTATTTGGCCCCATGGAAAAGAAAACCTAAACAATTTCCTAACACAACTTAACAGCACACACCCCAAAATCAAATTCACCATGGAAACGGAAACAAACAAACAACTACCATTCCTAGATGCACTAATCTACAAAAAAACAGATGGCACACTAGGACACACCATATACCAGAAGAAAACACACACCAACTGCTACCTCAACGCCCAATCCCACCACCACCCAGCACGGATAAACTCTGTAGCCAAAACACTAATTACCAGAACCAAACGCCTGGCAGACAAGGCACACATAAAGACTGAACTATGCACCCTGACCAAAATACTGATAGCTAACGGCTTCTACAAAAGAAAATCACAGACGTGCTCCACAAAAACACACTGAAACACAATAGAAACCCAGAAGATGAACAAACCTATGGAACAGCTGTCCTGCCCTACATAAGAGGAACAACAGACAAAATCAGTAAGATACTACACAGGCATCACATCAAGACTGCCTTCAAAACAGACAGAAAAATAGCAGCCACCCTAAGAAACCCCAAAGATAAAATTGACCTAGAAAACCAAGGCATATATGAAGTACCCTGTGCATCATGCCCTGCCACATACATAGGACAAACCAACAGAAGGATAAGTACCCGCCTTGAAGAACACAGTAATGCAATACAAAAGCTGGAACACACTTCCTCACTAGTCCAACATATGAAAGCCACAGGTCATAGCATCAACTTCAATGGCACCAAAACCCTAGCTACTATAGAAAACCCCGGCTACAGAATCATCAGAGAAGCCATAGAAATTGATAAAAGACCTAATAATATGAATAGAAGAGATGACTCCACCAGACTATCAATCATCTGGAAGCCTGCACTCACAAACAAAAAAATCTCTAGACCACAATCCAGGCAAGCACCTGGACACAAACAGACCCCACCCCCCAATACCTCCAGCCCAAACACGCCCCAGCCAGCTACCCAAATAAAACCTAGCTTCCTAATAAATAGTTATCGGCCATTCAAAAGAAACCAACCTGCACTAAGAAACCCCAATGTACAAAACACAATGTTGTCAACTAATCAAGAACACAGCAACTCGAAGACCAATAAAAACAGACCTAGACTTTAACAGTTGCAGGAACTGGGCTTGGCTAGTCTAGTAAAGAGAAGGACCAGGGGAGACATGATAGCGGTCTTCCAATATTTGAGGGGCTGCCACAGGGAGGAAGGGGTCAAGCTATTTTCTAAAGTGCCTGTAGGCCAGACAAGGAATAATGGATGGAAACTGAACAAGGAGAGATTTAACCTGGAAACAAGGAGAAACTTTCTGACAGTGAAAACAATCAACCAATGGAACAGCTTGCCCTTGGAAGTTGTGGGAGCACCATCACTTGAGACCTTCAAGAAGAGATTGGACTGCCATTTGTCAGAAATGGTGTAGGGTCTTCCGCTTGGGCGGGGGGTTGGACTAGATGACCTACAAGGTCCCTTCCAACTCTGATTATCTGTATCTAGACTCCCAGCCAATCAGGATGAGGAAAAAACCATTCAAATAAAGCAGAAAGCCAGCACCAAATTCAAAGAAAAAATGGCTGCCAAGCCTGACACACACGATTAAAAAGAACCCAATACACAAGGCTGAGGATGGCAGATGAGATTCTGTTGAAACATCGCTATAATAAAAGCACAAATATTAAGACGTGGGAAAATGCCCGAAGAAACCTAAATACCATACATATAAATACCCGTGAAAACATAAGAAAACATGTATACACACTAGCTCAATACCCATGCTTTGCTACAAAACTGTGTGGTCGGACTTAGTTTTTGGGGAGGAAAATAGGGGGTGGAATTCTGCCTCTGCCTACCAGCATCTGTCGGTATTCATCTGGCTAGCGTCCTGTCAGTGTGTGAGAGAATTAAGGGCTGTTTGGAAACTGAAACAGTATTTGCTGTGTGAGCAAGAAGGAGACAGCAGGGAGCCTGGGCGTGGCTTAGCTCAACTGTTCTGTACTAAAGCTGCTTGGTGCTGTGAAACTAAAACTGAAACTAAAACTCCTCTCCTCTGCTTGTTTATTTATTTTATTTATTTATTTATTTATTTGATTTGCCAATTGTTTACAAGATAATAAGTATAAGCGTATACATAGTTGTGAATACATGAAATGGGTACATATAAGAAAAATAAAAGAATAAGAGAAACAATAGGACAGGGACGGTAGGCACGTTGGTGCGCTTATGCACGCCCCCTACAGACCTCTTAGGAAGGGGGTGAGGTCAATAGTAGTTTGTGTTTTGTATTTGGAACAGATTTCTTTCCAGGTGGTGAGGGGGAGTAGAACTCCTTAGCATCAGAGCGTGTTAATAATAATATAGGAAATACTAATGCTCTGATGGTCATTTCGAAAAATCCTTTCTTAGTGAGCCCCTAGAAGCCAAAAGAAACATACGTGACAAATTTCAAGTTTGTAGTCTTTATAGTTCTGGAGATTTTGTGATAATGTGTGAGTGGTCTTTTGCTTTTATATATATATATAGAGAGAGATGAAAATCAAGCAGGCTTTCTGCCGAAAAGACAGCTAAGAGATCCTGTGAGGACTGTCTTAAATTATATTGACCAAAATACACCAATGTTCTTTTGGGTGGGGGTGATAAGAAAAGGAGCAATGACTGTCACAAATCAACTATTTATTGCTTTCATCAATGTACCGAACAAACAAGGCTACAAAGCAGGAACCCAGCAAGGCAACAGCAGAGGCAGAGATCACTACCACCACCACACTGCCGACAGCGCTGACCAGGAGACCTAGGCCCACCCCAACGATGATTTGGGCCAGTTGGACCATACAGGTCAAAGCAGCACAGTCAATACCCTTTCCTCGGCTGGAGTCCGCAGCTTCATCGTGTTTCTGATTCTGGAAGTAAACAGAGAAGGATATGAAGCCAACTGACTCAAACTTACCATTCAGATTGTCCAATCATTGTCTATTCACTGGTGTCACACAGCCAAAGTTTTATCCTAGGTAGAGGCAGATATTTCTCCCTCAGGGCACAATGAGAATATATCTGCTGAACAAAACTCCGCATTGGCGATAGCAAGGGCACCTGGCCATCAAACACTCTGCTAGCTTCATTCAGTTGCCCAGACTATACCCCACAAAGGATTATGGGGTGGTTAAAAGGTGATGACACAGTCAAACCACATCAGTATTAAGTCAACTGGGAACCCAGTACTGCATAAATTTCAGTAATGTGTACGTAGAAAGATGGAGTATAAATATAAAAGAAAGAAAAAGATAGTGGCTATAGAAAACATGATAGCACTTCACTTTCATTAAATAACAATTCCCACATATTACTACAATGATTTTATTCTATTTAGGAATTTTGTGAGGGTGTTAAGATTGGAAATCAAGGGGAAAAAATTCTTGATGTAAGATTAAGCAACCTCTAGATTAAATTGTTTTACAATCCTGAAAAAGCAAATAATTTTAATAACAAGAATAACTCCATTGTTAAAAAGTGCTGAGTTTCCTTAGTTTTGGAAATTTTGGGGAGCTTCATCACTGGAGGGTTTCAAGAAGAGACTGGACCGCCATTGGTCAGAAATGGTGTAGGGTCTCCTGCTTGGGTGGGAGTTCGACTAGATGACTTACAAGGTCCCTTCCAACTCTGTTAATCTAACCTAATTGGATATCATATACAAATTCATTTAGAAGCTTATAAATATTAAATATAACGTGGAAATGTTTCTGGATGAAAAGATCTGTTTTTTCTCTTAAATCTTTTATTTTGGGGATAGTTTAGAAAGAACATTTGAAAGACTTTCTCATATAAATCTTTTAAGATGGCTTCTTAAAAATTGTTCGAAAGGTTTTCAAAATTACAAAACCTCTTCATTATAGTCTTGTGCACACTCACTGGAAATCTCTGGTTGGTTTTGAGAGAACTTTATTCAGCATGGATAAAACTGTAACAGCTCCATTCCTTGCCATTTTTGCTCAGAATTTTCATTCTATTCAGTGCATCATAGCTCCAGGAAAATTTTGTAAGATGAAATTTCTGTTTAAGATTTATCTCAGGGATGTTCGGACTTGAGAAACATGTTGACAGGATAACATTTGGCTCCATATTGTATGTGGAGTGATATATACATTAAAGGATCTGGAGAAATGTTATTCCAGGAGAAATACCCCCATTGACTTTAAAACCTGTGGACTTCAACTCTCAGAATTCCCCAGCCAGCCATGGGAATTCTGGGAGTTGAAGTCCACAGGTCTTAAAGTTGCCAAGCTTGGACTCCCTTCGTTTTGATAGTGCTCCATTATTTCTTAATGAGGCAATATGCATTTTCTTATGGAAAATGTGAGAAAATAGTTTTTGTAAAAATTAATTTACTTTAAAATTTCAGTACATAGTAATTAAATGTGGTTAGATTGTGCATGAAACTGTTAAAAGACATGTTGAAAACCTTTCTAACCATTTTTGAGAAGCGTTTTCCAAAGATTTTCATGAGAAAGTCTTGTTTCAAGTGTTCTTTCTAATAGTTTATAAAATTAGATAGTAATTGATATTAATCTACAGAATTGTTTTTTATTTCTCAGAACCCCCATAATGGATAATATAAACTCTTATTTTCCATGGGATAAAATAAAGCAATCAAATGGGCGGATATCAAAATTCACAAAGAACTCTGCTATTTTCCTCACTGGATGAAAGTTTTAATATAAGTGGCACTAGATTGAAGATTCTTTTTCAAGTTACAGTTTTTATTTGAACTGGATTAAACGGGTAAAAATTCTCTGATTATCACACCAAGATGTGAGATACTTTAAACTTAGGCTTAGCATATTTAAGGACGAAAGAGAAAGTTTCCATTTGATTCCTCCAAAACACACATACACACACACAGAGGCACTGATTGTAGATTCTGGTCATGTCCAATTTATATGTTCAGCACAGCACAAGAGCTAACTTCACCCTGAGCCATGGAAGGTCTCTGCAGGCCTTTGGGGCAGATACTGTTTCTCAGTTCATCCTCAGCTTTATTCTCTTCACATCAGAGAGGTGAGGTTACGGACATGTTCAGCCCAAGAATCTATAAAGATGTGGCATTCTGTAGCGTAGTTATCTTGACTCGCTTTCAGAAGACCTGAAGAGTAAGGCTGCTTTATTCGAGAATGTTAATGACATTGTAAATGAAATAAAGCACCCATCGTATGATACATTCCATCCCATTCTGCATCTTATCTTGCAGTAAGGTGTTGTGGTTCACCGGCAGCAGGTGCGGACAGCTGAGGTCTCGGAGAGTGAGGACTCAGATGAGGGGCCTGCGTGTGATGCAGAGATGGGGCCAGGACCATCAGGGAGTGGAACGCTGCCTTCGGAGATTGTGGAGGCTGGCAGAAGTGATGAAGAGGTCCCCGAGGAGCCTGTGCCCAGTGTGCGTGCGTGCAGGGCTGCTCGAAGGAAAGAGCAGCTGCAGCAGCACGGGTGACTTGGGAGTAAGGCCCTCCCTGAGAAGATAAAAGCCAGCTGAGAAAGTGCAGTTCTTTGCAGAAAGCAAAGAAGTTTGATACTCAAGCCTGGTGGACGTTACAATATCTGAGTTGGTATTTGGAGACTCTTTGATTTATTGTTTAGGAACTTTATCTGTTGTTCTTGGCGGACTTGCAAAAACTTGGCAAGGCTCTTTCTTATCGGAGCTAATTAGTTGGAAGCAGCCTTTTTATCTGTGAAGAAACAGGATTCGTGAATGAAACAGTAAGAGGTTGTGCTGTTACCTTTGTCTTGGGTTTACTCTCATGGAACCAAGTTTGGGACAAAACATAAGGAGACGGAAGTAGATAACGGGTTATAAAACAGGGCATTACATAAATGTGGGGAAGAAATGTGTGCTATTTTGCTTTGTGAATTATTCTAAATTTATTTATTTATTTGTTTGTTTAGTTTGTTTGTTTATTGAGTTTATATTGCCATGGCAACTCAAGGTGGCTTACAAGGTATAAAACCACATTTAAAACAGTAAAACTAATAAGAAGGATCAAATAAATTAATATAATAAAATCACACACACACCCCAGTCCCACCCCAGCGACAGAAGATCACACAAGCCATTTAATGGGCTCCGTCCTGCTCTGGGTCCCCCAAGCCCACTGGCAGAGCCAGGTCTTCAGCTCCTTTGGAAAGAGAATTAGAGTGGGGCCATTCTAATCTCGGGGGAGGGGAATGAGGTGCCAGAAGGAGGGAGCCACCATCGAGAAGGCCCGTTTGAAAGCAACCCTATTTGAAACAGCATTTAATAGCATTATGAGAGGGTATCCCTACTTGGTTTGATCAAAATAAAGGTAGCTCTCATTCAAATTTATGATGGGCCTTCCTGGAGGTACGGTACTTATGACCTGGTTCTGAAGTTCTGATGGCCAGGCCACCCCGCAGTCAATGGAACTTGCTGTGAATTTGGGCAGTCAGCAAGCTCCATTACAGTTGTAACGCAACTTCTATCCATGTGCAAAGTGGAAGCAAAGATAATGGAGTGGATTATCACTACCTCCTAATCAGGTGAGAGTCAGGCAAGAACCAAACCCATCGATCCCTGGCCTGAGAATCTAAACAGTATCTACAACTCGGTTCAAGAGCAGTCAGATGGTTTCAAAGATATTAGCAGTAAAGAAAGTTGGTTGGGATCCTTCCTTTACTTCACAGTCACTCTCCCACTTCCCTCCACTTGAAGGTGAGCTGGATGAACGATTCCACAGCCAATGGGTAAGAATTCCACAGCTAATGATAATGTCAACTCATAAAGCATTCCTATGCTTGTTTTTGAGTTGCCATAAGCAGGAGAGGGGAAAGCTTGAAGGAGCAGTATGGAAATTAAAATCAGAAGTACATTCCATGCTTATCTTACAAAGATTGTAGCTAGGCTACCGGCCCATGAAAATCCTTCATTGGAGAATTTGATTGATGACACCCAGCCCGCTTTGTTGGAGAATCTGATTTATGACACACTGGGAAGAGGGGGGAAACAGGGTCACAGGCGACCGTAAATCACGTGTGTCAGAGTTGGCTTCATACGGGTCAATGCCGACATGTTGCTCCTAATAAATCTTGGCTCTTTTGAAGCTTGGCTCGAGACTCATGATTTAATTAGGGCAATCGCTGGAACCCTGACAGATAAGACAACAGCCCTCCATTTCAACTCACCAATTCCTCCTTGTGGTAATTAGCAACAAGGTTGAATGGTATCGTGTACAGTGTGCTGGACATGACGCCAAACAGAGAGCACAGAGTCAGAGTAGGAAGGACTTTGGGAAACAGCCCAATAAATCCAGTGCCTAGTCCAAAAAGAAGGTAACCGACAAAATAGAGTCCTTTTAACCCTAGGAAGGGTAGCAGAGCTCTTTGAACATCTGTTGGAAGAAAAAAGATTGGGAAGAGAAATTAAAATGGCAGCCATTTTTATCTCTGTTGAATATTAATTAAAACCTTTATTGCTCCCCTTTTTTTGTTCATAACATGCAATTGTGGGACTGGACAGCACCCTGAAAAACTGATTTTTAATTCATCCTAGCCTTTTAAAACATTTTAAATTTATATACCATTTTTACATATTAATATTTTATTTGTACACCTCCCAGAATCCAGGCAGTATTAACATTTGATAAATAAATACTGGTATCTATTTAGCCCTATATATTGAACTCTTGCTTTCAGGAATTTAAAGATTACAGATAAACAGAGTTGGAAGGGACCTTGTAGGTCATCTAGTCCAACCCCATGCCCAAGCGGAAGACCCTACACCATTTCTGTCAAATGGGAGTCCAATCTCTTCTTGAAAGTCTCAAGTGATGGTGCTCCCACAACTTCCGAGGGCAAGCTGTTCCATGGGTTGATTGTTCTCACTGTCAGAAAGTTTCTCCTTATTTCCAGGTTAAATCTCTCCTTGTTCAGTTTCCATCTATTATTCCTTGTCTGGCCTACAGGCACTTTAGAAAATAGCTTGACCCCCTCCTCTCTGTGGCAGCCCCTCAAATATTGGAAGACTGCTATCATGTCTCCCCTGTTCCTTCTCTTCCCTAGCCAAGCCCAGTTCCTGTAACCATTCTTCATAGGTTTTAGTCTCCAGTCCCCTAGTCATCCTGGTTGCTCTTCTCTGCACTTTTTCTACAGTCTCCACATCTTTTTTATAATGTGGTGACTAAATTTCAGTCAAGTTGAAACGGTACTCACAAGAATAGACTGAAGAAGAAATGGCATTGATGCATAATCCCCAACATCCGATCTCTACGCCTCTTTTATAGGTCAGATAAGCAGTGGAGTTGTGAGGGGCGTAAGGATCACCTTCAAACACTATCTATGGTGCATCAAAAAGGCAGGATTAAGAAATGGTTGTTGCATGGAACCTACATGTCTCATTGTTAAAGAAAGGGGAAATCCCAAAGGCCAGAATTTGTTATATACAGTTAGTCCTCAACTTATAACCACTATTGAGCCCAAAATGTATGTTGTTAACTGAGACATTTGTTAAGTGAGCTTTCCCCCATGTTATGATCTTTCTTACCACAGTCGTTAAGTGAATCACTGCAGCGGATAAGTCAGTAACCCAGTTGTTAAGCAAATCTGGCTTCCCCATTGACTTTGTCAGAAGGTCGCCAAAGGAGATCACATGATCCCAGGACACTGCAATGGTCATAAGTATGAACCAGTTGTCAAGCATCTGAATCTATAGTCAGCTGGATGACAGCTTCCAACCAACCTTTGTTACAACAAGCTAAACAGGATTGACTGGTTCCTACTTAAAATGAAGATTCCCTAAGAAAATTCTAGAACTGTAAGCTGAATAAACTTCCCAGAAGACAGTTACATGCTACTTCTATATTTTCCCCAAGCAAATCACATGTATATATGCATTAAGTCTTCAGTTGAGTTTGATTTAAAGGAGATGTTATATCTACAGATGAAAAACAGAGAATGGGGCCAATAGTGCATTTTCAGCCCATTTCTTAGCTTTATTCTAAACCTTTAAGTGGAACTGCATTTGTTTGAGAGCTCCAGGGAATCATCATTTTAAACACTGACATTTCATATTTTGGATTTTTCATAATATGGAAGATCAAAAAGCCAAGATTTTCAAATAAAATGCAAATGAATCCCCCAGCAACCCAAATCTATATAGAAAGCCTGAAGGCATCTATTTCCCTGGGATCTCTGAGCTGTTAATGAATAATTCTGCATATTGTCAATAAAAATACTTCTGTAAATGAAGAGCCATGGATTATTCCTAGAATGATGTATTCAGAAACTCAAAAACTCAAAAGTGACATTTGTTATACTGTAGATACTTTAACTGGATTCTTGCACTGAGCCCATAATTGGATCGGTTGCCTATTGAGAATCTTCTAGCTCCAAAACATTTTGATTTTTTTTTTACCTGTCCCATAAAATCAGTGAAGAAGAGCATGTTGGAAAGGAAAGCTGTCCATCCCATCAAGTGACTGAGACATAAGCTGCGGTAGTGGGGTGGCATGTTTAAAAGAGCTTCTAGGAGAGACATAATGGTTATCTGTCTTTGAACCTGGAAAGGAGAAAAAAATGAACAAGCCTGGTAAACATCTGGATGGTAGATAGTCAAAGATCTTCCAGTCAAAGATCTGTTGTCTTGTTTTATGTCTGCTGAAGTATCTAAAACAGAGGTCTCCAAACTTGGCAACTTTAAGACTTGTGAACTTCAACTCCCAGAATTCTTCCTGATCTAAAATAAATGCCTGTATTCAAATGCCAAACCAACCCCACTGCTCAACCTATTGTGAGCCACACCAATCTCCATTGTTGTGTCTACAGAGCAACTACTCAGAGGCAGATCTTGGTCTCCTGAAATTTGAAAAGCTCCTAAACTTACCTTTTCATCCAGTCACTTCTTGCTCCAATGTTTTAATGAGTACATTTCAATTAATGTTGCTTTTTAGTGTTTTAATATATTGCTTTAAGTATTTTATTTCTTCTTTTACAGTAAAATAAGGTATTTTGACACAGGAAGTAGTATATGAATATGTTAAGTGAATGAATGAATGAATTATAGAAGAGTGTATTAAAATTCTAGCTACATATATTATATCTGGGTTGCATAACTGATGGGCAAAAATTCACATCCAATCCACAGGACTGATTTTTTTGGCATCCAGACCTCCTGTCAAATAGACAGGGTGAAATAGTCAATCTTTTAAGGAGTTAAGGAAGTAAATGGGTAATTATTTCATCTCTTGAAAAAGCCCAAACATTTCCCTTCCAAATGCAGGGGTGGGATTCAAATTTTTTAACAACTGGTTCTGTGGGCATGGCTTAGTTGGTGGGCATGGGTTGGTGGTCATGGACGTGGCTTGGTAGTCATGTTATTGGCTGGGTGTGGCCAATTCAATATCACTCACATCGAGGCACACATCTCCTCGCCTGGCCTCTCATGACTGTGGGGATTCTGCAACAGTCGTAAGTGTGAAAAATGGTCATAAGTCACTTTTTCAGTCCCATTGTAACTTTGAATGGTCACTCCACACAAGCAAAGTACCAGCAAAGGAGGGGAGAAAAACTCCAGAGAAGTTCCTTAGACAGGAAGTCTAGTCCTGCCAAGAACGTAATAAGGGTTAATGGAGAGGCAGTTTTTGTAAGCAACACCAGAATGTTTCCTTCCTGCCTTCCTTACAGGATTAGGCCAGTAATTTCTTCTAACAACCGGTTCTCTGAACTGCTTAGAATGTTAACAACCGGTTCTAGCGAATAGGTGCAAACTGCTAGAATCCCACCCCTGTCCAAATGGGATAATTTTCCCTATTTAGGAAAGCATCCTGGAGCATGATTGGTGCTTTATGCCTCTATAAGATGTACGGCATCCATTCTCTCCCCAAACAATGATAGTAACACATATCTAACCTCCAAAAAGTGCCCTCAACCCACCTCTGACTGGCCACGCCCACACCTATTCTCTGCCTACCGAGTCCCAGCTGATTGGCTGGGTTTTCTTTTGTTACCCTTCACAGGAGAACGGAGCTGGAAAGCAGGTTAGTGGGGTGGGGAGGGAATGGGATTTTTCAGTAACCTTCCCCCAGGAGTGGGGAGGGAATGGAGATTTTACAATACCCTTCCCCTGGAGTGGGGTGGGAATGGAGAGTTTGCAGTATCCTTCCCCTGCCACGCCCACCAAGGCACGCCCATCAAGCCACGCCTACAAAACCAGTACTAAAAAAATTGAATCCCACCACTCCTCAACCCCTCTAAAGGGCCATCCCTCTCACTCGGATAATGTCCTAACATTACAAGGATGGTCCTCTGGGGCTCCTAGAAGCCAAAGATGTTATTCAACCCACTTTGTAAATTTAATCACAGTACTAAGACTACAAGAGAGCTGGTTTGGTGAAGTGGTTAGGCTAGAAATGGGGACGTCATGAGTTCTAGTCCCACTTAGTCACAAAGCCAGCTGGGTGACCTTGGGCCAGTCATTTTCTTTCAGCTTTAGGAAAGAGGCAATGGCAAACCATCTCCAAAATCTTGCCTAGAAAACTTGCCAAGAAAATGTGTTCAGGCAGTGCCAAGAATCAAGACTGATTCAAACGCACCAAAAAAAAAACCAACCAAATAAAACAAAACAATAAGGCTATACAAGAGATTGCTTCCCTACTGAATTCATTCTTTCTTGAGTTTCCTAATGAAGGATAGGTATGATATAAATGTTCTAAACAGGTAGTAAAAACCCAACACTATTTCCTTTTTCAAATGCAATTGATGGGATGCGGTGCAGAACCCCCTCAGGGGAGAATATCCAGCCAATTTCAGAAGCAAGGAATTTTTGTGTCTAGGTTTGGACTGGAAATTAATGAACAATCCTTAACCCATGACAATTAACAGTTAATATCCATCTTGGAAGCCTTTTTGGTGATCAACTATGGAAGCCCTTCAGGGTCATGGCCAGTAGGCAAGTAGGTGTGCAAGCTGACATTGCCCAAAGGCACCACGACACAATTTAAAAATCAATTCTACATTCTGAACACCCAACTGCATCTGCTCACTTATGTCAGATTTCACTTCTTGCAAAACAAGGCCTGCCTATCAATTCAGAGAAGCTGTATGCATTGCACAATCTGAAACTATCCATGCGACTAACATCTTCCAATAGGTAATATTGCTGCAGTGCAAAAAAACACTTTGCACAAAGTAGACTTATAGGTCAGCTGTGGTCCTGAAGCTCTTGAATCCAGATGCCCCTTAATGGTGCTCCTGCTATGACATTGTTAAAAAAGATAGCATCCAAGCAGTGTCCTTCTGCCATGACTCACTCCCCAACACTGTTCTGACCAAGACTTCCTGAGACAGTAACAATCACACCCTGTTCCCCAAAACCTTGTTTTTATTTCAATGGCTGTGAATTATATGCATTCACAGCCCATAATGAGTCCCAAACAGTTTATGAATAGTCCAACAGAAGTCTGCCACAGTCTTTTGGGATAAGGCTGATAAGCACCCACCTTTATCTCCCTTGAAATGCTGCCAACGACTAAATTGCCAATTAGCTGAACAAGGCCAAACAGAGCACAAAGTCAACATGGAGCTTCAGATTTTAACCAACCAGAACGAACAAAGTTGCTTCCTGCAAAGGCTCATGTCCCTTTGCTCCTCCTTTATGTCTTATGGGAGGGGCCAATCATCTCCAAGCCTTACTCCCGAGTTGCCCCTTTTGTCTTAACTGTTCTTGCCTTCTGGCAGCTCTGCACAAGGTGCACTGGGAACACGCTCCCCCTGTTCCTCTGCCTCACTGATGTCAGATTCTGGAGGCTCCGGGGTCAGCACATAACTCTCAGATGGCCCTGGCCCCCATCTCTGTGTCGGACGCAAATCCCTCGTCCGAGCCCTCCCCAGACTCCAGGACTGGCCCATGTTCCTCCCCACTGTCTGACTCTGCTGCCAGCGCTGCAGGCCGCCGGTGGACCACAAGAAACACAAAGATACTCCTAACAAATAAGAAATGCATTTTAAAAAGGAAGACTGATTTGAGGAATGCTTTCCATTGTCTATTTTGTTTTGTAGAATCTGGGGGGCATGAATTTAAAAAGGGGGATATTTGTACTACATGACAAATTCTACAGACTGTTTATAGTTATAAAATAGCATTATCTTTGGGTAGCTCTTCAAGCTATCTCTAACCTGAATATTTTCCAAGTGAGAGGGCTTCAATTCCCAAAATGCCTCAACCACCACTACTACCGGTGAGAATTTTTGGAGTTGGGGTGAGCAAGGTTGAGTAATAGTAGTAGCACTTAGACTTATATACTGCTTTACAGTGCTTTACAGCCCTCTCTAAGTGGTTTTCGGAATCAGCGTATTGCCCTCAACAATCTGGGTCCTCATTTTACCCACCTCAGAAGGACAGAAGGCTGAGTCAACTTTGAGCCTGGTGAGATTTGAACTGCCTAATTTCAGACAGCCGGCAGTCAGCAGAAGTAGCCCGCAGTACTGCACTCTGACCACTGTGCCACCACGGCTCATAATGTTATATATGTCTTCCCTAAATGATCTAAAAAGACCAGATAGTGGTTACATCTCTCCATTTACATGTACTGGTAAGTGGATTGAGAAATATATATTTGCAATATATTTTCTACTTGTTCTCTTAACTATCCCAGTCCAGCAAGGGAGATCATATAGACCAGGACTGTCAAACACCCAGCCCACAGGCCAAATGTGTCACATGCTGGCCACGCCCATGTCCGGTTTAGTGGTTTATTTTCCCTACAGCTAGATTGGCCTTCTTGAACCTGCAATTTCTGGATGCAATATTGAAAGCACAGTGCAAAATTCCCAACCCACAGATTGGAAGAATTGATCCTAGGTTATGCATGCTATGTGTATATACAGCAAGTGTCATTCAATATTCCTTCTTTATTAATCCTTTTTTTAATTTTCTCTCTCCAAACCATTATTGCCATTCAACTATCAAGGATCTTGAAGATCACTAATACACAGGCAAGAGTGTTACACAATGAAGACAGTGGTCACAGAGTTACAGAACTTCTCTTTCAAGCATATTGTCAACTCGTAAAGCATTCCTGGCTTGCTCTCCAGTTGCCATAAGAAGGGGGTTCATTGCTATGATCAGAAGCACATTCCACGTATACCTTTCTCCAGATTGTGTCTCAAGTTACCAAGCCCAGCCGGAGAGGCGTGTTTTCCACAGCCCACGAAAGTGCTTCGTTGGAGAGTGTGATTTATGACACACCCTGGGACAGAGGTGGGCAACTATGGCCCCTTTATGACTTGTGGACTTCAACTCCCAAAATTCTTGAGCTAGTATGGCTTGCTCAGGAATTCTGGGAGTTAAAGTCCATAATTCATAAAAGGGCCATAGTTGCCCACCCCTGCCCTGGGAGGAGGGGGGAAACAGGGTCACAGTTGAACAGTAAAATTACATAGGGCAGAGTCAACTGCACTTCAGAAAAGTGCCGACATGTTCCTCCTAATAAATAATTGGATTTCTTTTGAAACTTGGCTCAAGGCTCATGAATTAATTAGAGCATTCATCGGAACCCTGACACATATTTGCAAAATTAATACAGAAGTCAACCCTGGTTTGTTCAGTTTTGTAATGCTGGTTGCCCAAGGTCAAGGTTGCTATTGGTTGCAGAACATTGTTTGTGCACTCTTCTTCCTTGGTTTGACAGCTTAGCTTTGATTAGAACAACCTAAGGTGAGACCCACTAGCCTAAACCTAAATATTTATGCAGAGAAATCTCTCACAGGAAGGGGGAATTGTTAAAAACACTTAGGCCAAATATGCAGGTGGTAGCATATGCAGATTTGGATGAAAGATGACCTGAAAAATATCTTTATTTGTCTTACAGAAATAAAATGCAAATTAACATTTCATTTTCCTAGACTTCATCTGCTACACAATGTAACCCATTGCTTTCTAGGTTTAAAATGTACTGTAATATAAAATCAAAATGTACCATAGACCTTTGTGCTCCTCTATTTCCCAAGGTGCATTTTGTTTTTTTGTTTTTCAAAATGCCTTGAGAATTTAAACATGGTTTGAATACCAGATACTTAATATAACTTGGTTTGCATTTTTTTATACATCAAGAATCCCCAATATTTAAAGTACAGTAAAAAATATGGCATGCATAATTTATTTGTTTTTACCGTTTTCATATGAATGTCTAACTGAATGATATAGCACAACTTTGCAACCCAGACAATGTTATTGATGCCAACGCCTCACACCTGCTATACAGCAAAAACCAATAAAATATTTTTAGCAGATGACTTTTGAGTCCAACCTTCACAGATTTTGAGGGAGTTAAGATTTGAAATACAATTTTAAAAGGTCATTTTTCTTTGTTATACTTCACTTCAGTGGTGGTATGCTATCGGTTCAGACTGGTTCGGCTGTACCAGCAGGGGTGGGATTCTACCAGTTCGCACCTATTTGGTAGAACCGGTTGTTAACATTCTAAGCAGTTCGGAGAACCGGTTGTTAGAAGAAATTACTGGCCTAATCCTGTAAGGAAGGCAGGAAGGAAACATTCTGGTGTTGCTTACAGAAACTGCCTCTCCGTTAACCCTTATTACATTCTTGGCAGGACTAGACTTCCTGTCTCAGGAACTTCTCTGGAGTTTTTTTTCCCTTCTTTGCTGGTACTTTGCTTGTGTGGAGTGACCATTCAAAGGTACAGTGGCACTGAAAAAAGTGACTTATGACCATTTTTCACACTTACGACTGTTGCAGCATCCCCACAGTCATGAGAGGCCAGGCGAGGAGATGCGTGCCTCGATGTGAGTGATATTGAGTTGGCCACACCCAGCCAATAACATAACCACCAAGCCATGTCCACCCAGTCACATGACCACCAAGCCACGCCCACAGAACCAGTTGTTAAAAAATTTGAATCCCACCCCTGTGTACCGGTAATAAAAACAGCCAACGATCAGCTGAGAGGAGGAAAAAGAGAAAAGAGCAGGATTGGCCCTCCCATCGGCCCCTGCGCTTTTCTCTTCTTTATCCTCTCATCTGATTGGTGCTGCAGGTCTCAGCTGGTATGGGGAAAGCTGCGCCGGCATTAGGCAAAGCACGCCCACCAAGCCACGCCCACCAAACCGGTGGTAAAACAATTTGAATCCCACCACTGCTTCACTTTACCCCTGTTGAGGCCTACTGCACTAGTCAAGGTCAATACCACCTCCAGGGACATCTCCAAAATGTTTTAAAAAGTCAAGACAATGGCTGTGCTTGTTTCAATTGAAGATTTGTCCCCTTTTTATGTGTGTTGCGGGTGCAGTGTTCATAAAAATGGCTGGGGCTTTAATTCAATCACCCTAGTCACCATCTTGTTGTTGTTGTTTTCTAGGAGTATATGATACCTGAAGTCTGCTGAACTGTGGAATGTAATCCAGAAGAGTTTAAGACTAAACTCAAAAGAGTTTAAGAATTTAAGAGTTCAAGGGAATTTGCTCACTATCAAAGACTGATAAGTTTATATAATGTAAATAGTTGTGTTTTGTTCCTTCTAACACCAATTTACAGAGGAATTGTGTGGTTTGGGAGTAACTTCTGCAATGCTGGCTTTATTCTCCCTTTATCTGAATCCTGGAAGGCCTTCAGCAAAAGAGAGTAGGGTTCCTCACTTGATTAACCTTGCCATCTTTTATCTTTATTTTTTCAGTTTTATTGAGGTTTTTTTTTTTACAAATATTTTTTGATTGCTGTGAGTTATCCAAGTTGCTGAGAATCGGGCAGCATACAAGTTTAACAAATTACTATGGTTGGTTGCACAGTCAGCCAGACGTTTAGACTGGACTTGGCATTTTTATCCAACTTTTGAGTCCTTCCCAATAGAGTTGTTATTTTTATTATTACGATTATATGACATGACCAATTTTTCCATTTCTTAGGAATTAGGAATGCAATTCTGAAGGATTCTACTGTATAAACCAGGTTGCCATAATTTGATATTCCCTAGATGTATTGAGACGGTAGCTGCCATTTGGTTTAGTCCAATGGTGAGATTCAAATTTTCTTTACCACTGGTTCTGTAGGCATGGCTTGGTGAGTGTGGCATGGCTTGGTGGGTGTAGCTTGGTGGACATGGCAGGGGAAGGATACTTGTAAACTCTCCATTCCCTCCCCACTCCTGGGTGAAGGTTACTACAAAATCCCATATTCTCCCCACCCCACTAACCTTCTTTCCAGCTCCGTTCTCCTGTGCAGGGCAAGAAAAGAAGACCCAGCCAATCAGCTGGGACTCAATGGGAGGCAGAGAATAGATGGGGCAGGGCCAGTCAGAGGTGGTATTTGCCGATTCTCCAAACCTCTCAAAATTTCTGCTACCGGTTCTCCAGAACTGGTCAGAACCTGCTGAATACCACCTCTGATTTAGCCCACATGTCTAATGACAAATACCTTTTTTTTTTTTACATTTTTTGTTAATTGTGACAAGAAATATCAAAGTGGTAATACAAAACATCTGGAGGACATCCGATCTATCTTTGGCTTAAAAGAGCTCTGTCAGTCAGACACATAAAGAGAGACAAAGAGAGACAAATATTTCTCATGTTTTCACAGTCATGTGGCAAGCACCAACTCTTCATGTACACAAAATACTAATATCTTGGAGAATCCATGTGGAAGAGTCAAGCAAAATCAACAACAAACCTACAAAGACTAATAGCCTAAACTTGTAGAGATGAATCCATGACATCCAAGCTAACCCTCAGCTGCAGATACATATATTCCATTCAGAAAAATGGATTAAATCTCATCCCAGTTGTTTTTTATACAAGTGGTTTTCAACTTACGACCACAATTGTGCCAAAAATTTATGTTGCTAAGCGAGACAATTGTTAAGTGATTTTTGCCCCATGTTACAACCTTCCTTTCCACAGTTATTAAATTAGTAGCACCGTGGATAAGTGAATCTGGTGTTCCCATTGATTTGGCTTGCCAGCAGTTCACAAAAGGTAATCGCATGACCTCGGTACACAACAACCATCATAAAGATGAGTCAGTTGCCAGGCATCTGAATTTTGATCATGTCACCATGGGGAGGCTGTGATGGCTGTAAGTGTGTGAGAATGGTCATAACTCATTTTTTTTCAATGCCATTTTAACTTTGAACGATCACTAAATGAAAGGAGGTGACTCGAGGACTGGCTGTCGTGATGACATTTTCTGAATTGTACGCACAAAAAAAATAATCATGACAATTGATCATTTATTTATTGGATTTATTCCTATACTACCCATTTCCAAAGATTCCATTTGAGATTGAGGATTTTTATTATTATTATTATTATTATTTAATTTATTTTTCAATTTTAATTATGAGAATACAACACAATACCTCCAACATAACTTTGTTACACATATATACATTTTACTTCATCATTTGTAATTTCCTTATTTAATATATTAATTACTAATTAATCTAATCATAACAACTATAGGAACCTCTGTGGCGCAGTGGTTAGAGTGCAGTATAGCAAGCTACTTCTGCAGCCAGCTGCCTACAATTTGGCAGTTCAAATCCCATCAGGCTCAAGGTTGACTCTGCCTTCCATCCTTCTGAGGTGGGTAAAATGAGGATCCAAATTGTTGGGGGCAATATGTTGACTCTGTAAACCACTTAGAGAGGGCTGTAAAGCACTATAAAGCGATATATAAGTCTAAGTGCTATTGCTACTAATACTTCTACCTTGTCTTCTGCTATATAACCATTGATAAAATTTATTCCATGTTTTATAATATTTAGACTCTCCTTTGTCTTTTATTTCTAAAGTTAACCTATCAGATTTTGCACATGCCATAATTTTCCTTATTATTTCTGCTTCTGGAGGTATGATTTCATTTTTCCAGTATTGTGCATATATTATTCTAGCTGATGTCAACACATGTACTATTAGATACATTATTTCCTTCTTAAATTTTTCTAATATTATACCTAGGAGAAAAAATTCTGGCTTAAATGGAATATACTCTCACCATTCGTTCTATCCATGTTTGAATTAGTCTCCAATGTTTTGGGTTTTTTGCAGCATTGCAAGTCCACCACATGTGAAAAAATGTGCCTGATGCATCTTTACACTTCCAACAATTTGGAGATATATTTTTAAACATTTTAGGAAGCTTTGCTGGCAGAAGACGCCACCTATAAAACATCTTATAAAGATTTTCTTTATAAGCCGTAGACAATGTTTTTCTTATTTTCTTATTTGTGGTCCAGAGTTTTTGCCATTTAGCCAATTCAATATTATAACTGAATTTTTTTGCCCATGCCACCATTGGTTCTTTATCACATAACATTCCCAATGGATGTTTCATGAGATGGGAGACAGCATTTCAATAATTAAAATAAACTGTAAAGTTAAACAAGCGCTGTTACCTGACTGTCTGCTTTTGTGGTGAGTTTCTCCTCTTTGGGTGAAATCCGCATTTCACTGCATTCACTGTTGTTCTTGACACTTTCTATGGCCCCATATTGATCAGGCTGAGAATTTTTCACCAGGACTTTAGTCTCGCCACTGGTGTCGACAAGAGGCGCTTCAGGGATGCTGCACAAGTGCACCACAAGACAGAGCAGGAACACAAGGACACCAAAAAAGAATATCACGTGGAATTCTGACCCCAAATATTTTCCCAAAATGGTTGATCCCCAATCAATGGCCCCCGTCAGGTATCCCAGAGCCCCTCCTAGACCTAAAGGTAAAAAGAAAGAAAGAAAATGTTGCTCACTTTAACATAGACAAGCAAAAACATAAATGCTAAATTGTCAGGTTATTGCTACAGTCACGTCTGTTTTGTAAACTTGGGCATCTAGTATATTGCTGCTTCCCATTTCATTATAGCATTCAAACCTTATTACAGTTAGCAATCATATAAATAGATTTTCTCCATGACAAATGATATGCTATAATTATACATTAAAACACATGTCTAGCAAGACTAAATTTTGTAACGTTTCTTTAGTTCTTGTGGGCAGATAAGCTGAAATATCTTTCATTTGGAACAGGGTGTTTGGAAGCCATATTGAGATTTGATGCTCCCACGTTGCCACAATTGAGCCTGAGAAAGTGGGAGGGTGGGAATTCATTTGAGTATATTTAGTTAGACAAAAGAAAATTATTTTGCTGTTTCAAGGTCACGTAGTGTTGCGCATAGTGAAAAGGAAATTTACTTTGGAGACGAATGGTGATTGGGCCATGTGATGTGGTGATGGGTGCAGGGGATGGATTTGTAGGTTTTACTTTTGCAAGGAAGCCCGAAACTTTCAGATTCGGGATTTCACAGATGTACCAGTTACTATCCAAATAAAGGAACCATTGAGAGATGTCTGTCTCGGAGTTATTGGTTGGAATGGAGGTTTGCTGGAACACTGACACAGGGGTGTCAAACTGGATTTTTGAGGGGCGGATCTGCATTGTAGTTCTCTTCCATGGGCCAGTCAGGGTAGGGGAGGGAACCTGCCAGTCAAAATGTTTTGGCCGGCAGAGTGCTGCAGGAGGCTGGCCAGGCTGAAAATAGGGTGTGGGGGGCACATGAGGCCACCGCGGGTCAGTCCTTTGGTATTTCCAGGCCGACACTGGTGTCCAGATTTAAGCACCCCATGAGCTGGATTCAGCCTGCAGGCCTTGAGTTTGACACCCCTGATTTAGAACAATTTCCAAAATGCACACCAGATCCGTTTGCGGCGATGCAATTCCATCCATCACCAAAGATGGACTAATCTCAGATCCGGTAGGACCCCAAACCCAGAGCCCCTCAGTCATGCCAAGGATCATTTGAAGCCTGTTGTTTCCATCCAGACGTTCACAGCCTCCAAGCACTTGGATAAGGCATCCATACATTGCTTAATTCACTTGGCGTAGAGATGTCTAACTAGGTATCATTAGTCTACAAATGATACCCCACTCCATGGCAACAGATGAGCTCACCCAACAAATGCATGTAGATGTTCAATAGGAGCAGAGAAAGCACCCAATCTTGTGATACTTTACTTAGTAGGGGCTGAGGCTGGGATTTCTCTCCCTCCTACAATCACCACCAACCTATATCAACCCCGGAGAAAAGAGGCAAACCAGCACAAAACAGTGCCAACCACTCGCAATCCCTGGAGTTGATCCAAAGAATAACATGGTCGATATCCCAAAGATGCTTTTTGAAAAGGCAACTGGACTTTGTTTTTTCTTTGAAGTTAGAATGATAGAATACAGAGTTAGAAGGGACCTTGGAGGTCTACTAGTCCAACCCCCTGCACCACTTCAGACAAATGGTTATCCAGTCTCTTCTTTAAAATTTCCAGTGTTGGAGCATTAACAACTTCTGGAGGCAAGTTGTTCCACTAATTACTCTGTCAGGAAATTTCTCCTTAGCTCAAAGTTGCTTCTCTTCTAGAATAGAATAGAATAGAATAGAATAGAATAGAATAGAATAGAATAGAATAGAATAGAATAGAATAGAATGGAATCAGAATGGAATAGAATGGAATAGAATAGAATAGAATAGAATAGAATAGAATAGAATAGAATAGAATAGAATAGAATAGAATAGAATGCAAAATGGAATGGAATCAGAATAGAATAGAATAGAATAGAATAGAATAGAATAGAATAGAATAG